ACCATTCTGTCAACAGAAAATGAATGTTTGGATACAAAGGACATGGTCAACTGTTAAGCACAAAAAAAAGCAAAGAAACTCTGCTTCTGAAGAAATTGTAAAGGTAGAACTGTTATTGTTTAATAATTTATTTAAGTTGAACTGTTTAACCCTATAAGCACAATGCACTTTTAAACTTCTTTCTGCCCATGTTACTGAGTTACATTCAAAGCTTAATAAAACATCATCCACGTATGTCAGTGAAATTAATATTATAATGTACGTTATAATTTGAAGTTTTATATTATCTAAGTTGTAATTTCTTTGTTTCAACAGAAACTTTTAGAAAATTACTTAAAACTCCAGTTTTGTTGTCACACGAGCTATGAAAACTCTCAACTTTTGCAGTCTCTATCTTGAATCAAATTGACAAATTGGGCAAGTTTCACATGCAAGGGTGGAGCGAGAATATTTCTCTATGAAAAATGAAAGTGCGAGAGTGAGAAGCAAAAGAGGGGATAATAGGATGAGAGATCCAAATATTGAGTGGACTAAGGCAGTCAAAGAGGCACCAACAATAAGGCCAAAGAAGGAGAGTAATATATAAATCCAAGACTCAGAAGGAGGAGATAAATAAGGGAGTAGGTACAGAGAAAGAGGTAAGACCAGGCCTAGCTGAGAAATTGACAGCCAGAGACCAAGGATGAGGAATAGAAAACTACAGAAGACCACAAGAGAGGAAGCCCAGAATTTAGAAACCATTTAATACATTCAGCATGGGCTGATACATTTTGTATCACTTTGACTGGGAAAGGACATATACGCAAAAAACATATAGTAACTCTAAGCATTCCTCACAAAACCTCGTAAAATTTTGTTAAAGTTTAATAGTATTTTGTACACAAACAATGACATTATTTTAATTAGATCTTTCTAATGAAAATTTTATTTATCTATAGTAGCTTTATGTACAAAAACTGTTAGAATAGTTTGAGTGTACAGTGATTTTCATTTTAAGTATAAAATACTTTTCTTCATCCTATAGTTTTCATATAAATACAATTTAAACTGTATCTCTAGCTGTAACATACTTAGGTAAGGAACAATCAAGCAGCCAACAATACTACAGTCAATTACATGCTCCATGATTACAACTTGGTGCCCATTTAAAAATAACTGTTGTTAGATTATAGTGTAAAATTAGCTCTTTCCAATGAGTATACACATGTGTATGTAATATCTATATATAGGCTATAAAGCTCAAACAAATTTGTTATAGGTGGGCATGTCAGCTGTCGAAATATTTTTTTACTTGTTTCAGCTGTATTCATTCAGAGAACTTTGAAATGAGAGAGTCAAAAGGTTATGTAATCATCTTATTGTCTTGATGTACCTCTACTCAACTACCATTATATTATTGAAGATACAGAGAGCCAAAGTAGAGAATTTTCATAGCTCGTTGGTCATGTGACAATACACCTGAAGTTTTAAGTAGTTTTGTAAAGGTTAATTTTGAAATAAAGGACTTAAAACATGGATAAAATAAAATATAAAACCATAACATACATTATAATAATAATTTCATTCACATACACTGATAATAAAGGTGTTCCTATTGTGAAAAGATTAAGAGGGATGTATCCAACCAAAGGTAAGCCCCATGGAAAATATGGGGGTGTAGTGCCTATTCTGATGATAGCATAAGGACTGGCCCAGTGAGGCAGTCTGCCACCAAGATAGAAACTCTTGGAAAAGGACATGAATGGGCTCAGAAGTGTATGGTTAATGCCTAAAACTAAAAGGCCATGGTACAGAAGCCACAAGGATGGTTGGAGAAGGAAAAGACCATGGAATAGATTGAGTGAAACATCATTAGGAATGGGAATATGTCTTATGAAGAGCAAGTATGCTGAACATACTGATGTGGAATGAACTCTTGATCCAATGTTTAGACATTGAACGTCCTACCCTCATCAAAAAATGTATCTCCATCATAAAGAGAAGCATCAAAGAAGGGAAAGATTTGGTTTAAAAGGCAGTAAGGGAACACAGAGAGATGTATGTGCAAAGTCCAGTCACTGTGACAAATCCTTGAGAAGAGGCTCACAAAAGAGAAAGAAGAACCACTAGAAGAAAATCATGAGTGCAAAAGGTCTGCTCGAGGAGATACATGAAGGCATGCCCCAAAGGAACGAGGTGGTTCTAAGGAATCCAGAGTCTCCAAAAGTGAAAGAACCTATCATTGATAGGGATATGGGAAAGGGGGATGCAAAGAAATGCATATCACTTTCGTGGAAGGAAATGAAAGTTGCTGCCTAGGTTGTTGATCTTCACTCTTAATATTTTGCAATCAGATTGTAGAAGTGAAAAAGAGAAAGGTTATAAACAAATAGTCTGATGGTATTTAATTTCAAGAAGCAACGTGAATTAGTACATTTGAGTGTATCAGCAAAGAAGATGTACCATGTTCTAAAGCCTTTTAATCTTATGTATTATAGTGCTTAATTCTACACTTAACCCATTTGAAACATATTTGCTTTCCTTAAATGTTTATACCATTACTGGCTACACAATGTATGCTACATGTATATGTGTGTTGTGTGTGTGACCAGGAATTGTGAGATTTGATTGTAGGTAAGTGCAAACTTATCACAACTGCAATCACATATTGAATGAAAGAACTCTGGAAAAAATGATTGTCACTCATTAAGCAGGTAAAAAACAAAACACAAATAGAATCCATTACAGAAAAACAAAAACACAAGAATAAAGGATACGAAATATTTTAAAATAGAATACTATAATAAAAATAGAATTTACACAAATGCAAACGTTAAATACAAACTTGATTTAACAAAAAACTTGAGCATATTAATAACTATTGTCAAATGTGCTTTTATTCTGTTATACAGTTGGAATCTTAAACACTACAACATTTTAAATTCCTTTTTGATAAATTTTCATGTCTATTTTTTTAAACTGTTACATATATATATATATATATATATACACAGAAGTTTCTTGACAAAGACAACTGATCAATTGATAGTTCTTAATGGGTATAAATAAACTTTTAGAAAGTTAAACTATATTAGCTGAAACAATAATACTAATATAATAAAGTCTTTTCTACAAATAATTTAGATGGATATACACACAGAGCACATATTATACATTTAATAACAATATAAATATATATGTGGAAATTTCTATTATATGAAAAGGGTCAGCTCTAGAATTAATTCTACAGTACAGTAAATAAAATGGACCCAGAACAGAATACACAAAAAGAGGAAATTTCTAAGAGAAAGGTTCAGCCAAGTTTGAAATAACAGGGTGAACAAATTAAGAAAAGATCACTACAAAGCAAGAAGTTGGAGATATCACACACAAGGAGAAGCCAATGAAATTTCTCAAGAGACTAAGAACTTAATGAATACCTATTATGGTATTTGAACTGATGAGTGGCCAGACAAAAAAAAAGGAAGATAAACTTTGGTAGAAGAGAAATAAGATAAAATATTATCAAGACATGCAAACTGCTAGAAATAATCAACGGCAGAGAGTGCAGATGTGTTTATTCTAAATTCATAATGTAGGAAAAAGTTGGCTAACAAGTTAAAAAGGCTTTAACTTAACTGTTTGTAGCACTTTCTAGAGCTGAAGAATAAGAACTAATGATTCTAAGGTCCAAATTACAGTTTTGGTGGCTAGTAACAAAAACAAAGATTTGAAAAGATGACTAGGAATGAGAAACTACCCAACCAAACACAGGGAACACTCCAGGCATTGAATGGATACTGAATCCAATAGGGAGAAAATGACTGATCCAGATATTAAAGGAAAAGAGTATACAGCTTAAGGTCTTAAAAAATATATTTGTATTAAGGGCTGAGATTAAGTCTAGCAGTTCATAAACACAGGAAATGGAATTTTACCTATAGTAAATAGCTATAACAATAGGATTTGCTAATTAAAAAACTGATAGCTTTTAGACCTTCAAGAACAGCAGAAACACAGAAAAGAATGCACCCAGTGTGAATGAAAGATTATATACAAATATTCATATAAAAATCAACTCAGCAAAGCTATAGAAACAGACAAACAGTTTAACCTTCAATTAACCAGGTGTTAACTAAGGAAATCAACAGTAAAGAAGTAGGGGATGCAGGTATAGAATCAACAGTATCAACAATATTTGTAGAAGCCACAATACTAACAATTAGCAAAAATGTATAAAAAATTTAATGGAAAAACAATTCCTAAACACTATTTGAGGTAATAACAGTCTTGAAATGAAGAATATATATGTTAAAGCTATCAAATTTTAAACAAATTAAGAAGCAATGGCAGGAAAAGTAGTTGCACACACACAAGAAATCTTATCAATAACTATAAAATGTGATAACAAATCACTAAACTACTGAATGAGGTCTTGTATTTTTATTCTGATAGTTGTTACTTTGAGCATGTGCAGATGGATATGAGAGGATGACTAACTGAATAGGCAATTTTGTAATGCTGATCCTATAAATTTCATGTAAGTGTCATCATAACGTAATGACAGTGAAAAGCGAAGTGTGTTATCTGAAGTCAAGGATAGCTTTGATACATTTAGAAATCAGCAAATTTCAAGTCAATATCTATCCACTAGATTAGTTAAACACCAAGCATAAAACAATTTAAAATACTTCACGCATCCCTAAAATACATTTAGAGTTTTTGCTTAATCTCTTTCACTTGTATGGTATATATCAGCTTGAAAAATGCCAACTATTAAAATAAATTATATTTTTGTATATAAATAACTTCTAAATATTTTAAACAGTACTTATATTCTTAATTTTTAACAATTTATTTCATAATACATTTTGAATGACTATATATATACACATACATATGATGTTAATAACTGTAACCAGAAAATTTTGCGTACCTTAACACACAGTACGAACATAACTCTTCTCAATGTAGTCTGAAAAAGTTTTACTGAGATGCTGCATTTTACAGTATGTACTGACCTTTTTTCTCCCAGTGTCTGACCTCCTATCTTGATTTTTAATTTCAAAGCAGGCTTAGCAGATTCACTAACGACTGATGCCTCTGGACTTCCATATCCAGATCCTTCTTCTCCATCTTGATCTGCTGTTCGTTTTTTCTTGTGTTTCTTATGTTTATGCTTTTTATGCTTTTTCCGTGGAGAAGTAGTTAGAATCTCTAAAACAAGAAAAAAAAACAGATTTAATTACACGTACAGTAAAACATCAATTATCTAACTCAGAGTTGGTTGACATGAGTGATTAACCACTTTCAAATGTAAATCATAAAGTTATTTATTCTAGGTGAGGTTTAGAGTTCATTGGAACTGACAGTGAAAATTTTTTGTACATGTAAACAATACAAAATTGATAACTTGCATACCTCACTAACTTAAGTAAATGAACATTCTTTAAACTTTAGGAACTGATCTATATGCATGTGAAGCTTATCTTACTCGCTTTTATATTAACATGCAGAAGAATGCAGCACATGTATAACGTAAAAGAAAAGCTGAAAGATTAAAACATATAAAGCACTAAGACCAGATAATGGGTCCACTAGGTTTTACAATAGGCCAAAATCAGATATGCATGCCTCTCTCTCGCTTTCATTTTTGGTAAGCCAATAGACAGAGGGTTGTAGAAGGTTACTTCTATACTTCAAGTGGATGATAAGAGTTGCCCTGGAAATTATAAACCACTTAATTTTATTTCTGTATTACAGAAAAGTACTAGTGTGATAAAAACTTTCCAAAATTATTCTTCCATTTTTTGAATGATTTGTAAAATATTTATGTAAGATGTAATTTTGGAGAAAATGTTTTAAATCAGCAGCCAAAATGCTACACAAACAACTTTCAATTTGTGCATATGCACTTTTGTTCCAAGCTTTATGATCTGACAAAAAGTGCTAACTTGAAATGCCATCTTTTTGAAATAATTATAAAACTTGGTGATTTTGTAACCTATTCTTTAATTTCTGTATCTTTATTGCTGATGCAGTTAAATACATTTATTTCTTTTTATAAAGTTTCTGCAGTACAAAAATACCTAAAGCAGTTTTATAACTCTAACAGCACATTAAACTCATCTTAAGACCATTTCAACAATCAGCTTTGAAAGTTGGCCTAAAGGCCTTTTCTTCTAATCAAAAACTAAGTACAACTCACATGCTGTGTTCATTAACAAATGCCACTGAAAAGGTCTCACTCCTTGCAAATTTCATTCAAAATTTCACCCTCCTAATTTTCAGTTATAGAATATTCAACAAAGTCACAATAAAGAACTGCAATATTTATCTCATTATTTTATGTGCTGTACCTTACAGGATGTGTTGACTAAAGGAAATAAGTTCCAACAGCATGGTACAACACAAACAAAAAATCTACGAAATTTATAACGAAATCTTCAGACATTTTTAAAAAATTCACGAAGTCAGTCATAACTATCATAATTTTCTAAAGAGCTTAAAAGCTTAAATTATAACACTACAATGAGATAATGGACTTGAAATCACACAAAAGCCTACATCAAATCTGACTTTTCTAAACAGTGCTGTCAACATGAATTTTAACAATTATGTTTCAGAGAATGAACACAAAACACTGCAATTACTGGCCTGCAAACCTATTAAAATGACTCCTGTGAATGAATCCACATTTCCCAAATTCATTTGCTGTCCTAACAATTTGAAGAGTGAATCTTGTTATTTTACAGTGGAGGTTCACAGACATATGTACATAGAATACAACAAAAATCCCCCCCACTTGAAGACAACACACCAGAAATTACTATTTCTATTACAACCAGGAATTACTACTTTCTCTATCAAAATGTAAGAAAAAAAAAACATCAAAGTTATCACAATCCCCAATGATTTGGAATTCTCACCCAGTGAACTGAGCATCATAGGCAAAGGATTTGTCTCTACCAAGGCTGGAGTCAACATCTTTTGCACAATGGAAGGTATGTTGTTTTTTTTTGTGCAGATTGAAGTTGAAAACCCATTTTGCAAAATTTTTTTGCATGTCACAAGCCTTGAGCTCCCACGTATCTTACGTTCAAGATAGTTCCGCTGTGTTTCACATGTAAATCATCATGCGACAACCCTCAACCAATAATAGTGTGACACATCTTGCTGATGCATGTGACTCCCTCTATTTGACTCTACTGAACTATCACTTCCAGTTTTGACAGAAAATGGAAGCACCAGTTTTCAGCGGGGAGGAAGGGTGGTAAGTACCTATTGGAAATACATTTTAAGTATAGGAAAATTATAATTTATGATACAATACATTACCTCTGCTTATACAAATATTTAGAATCCCGCATTGAATAGGTGGATGGACTGGTGCAAGGGAAAGAAAGAAGCATACTCCAAAAGTATTCGAAGAACAACCTAAAAGAGGAGACCTCATATTAGAGGTTCATACATGGGAGACCGCACCACTTCTGTACCAAGTATACTCTTCACCCAGTGTGGAAAGAAGTGACACAGACATGGGTGGAAAATGGAAGGAGCACATACAAAAGGAAGAGAACAATGGTTGGATAAAAATCTGAACCACCCAAATCTGAATCCCAATTCCTTAGATTACCATAATGTGGGTGAGAGTAAAAAGGATGTGGCTCAGGGTGTAAAGTGGCTAGGGGACAATGGAATGTACATGGCAAGTCAACTGCATCCAAAACCCAGCCACCAGGAACCAATAACCATGAAGGGGTAGGATGAGGATCATACCATCGGTAAGTCAACTATAATCCAAAACCCAGCCACCAGGAACTGACATCCATGTGGAGGAAGGAAAAAGAATCATACCGTCTTCACCTCATAGTTCAGCATACAGGAGGGATATATCATGCCCATCTATCTGTGAACAGGGCACATGATAGCAAAGTGAGAAAATGTTATACCAATCCAGAATTTGACATCCGGATGAACGGAAATTTAAAGTTCTTCCACAATGACCTACAACACAGTAGTAGTAAACAAGAGTCCAATTGAGTGAGGGAACAGAGACACCTGTAATACATGTGTCAGGGCTTATTTTGATTGGTCCAGACATGAATCCAAAACCCAGCCACTGGGAACCAATATCCATGTGGGGGAAAGATGAGGGATCCCAATCAAAGGGGTGAATTGCAATTTTGATGGCTCACTCCAAAGATACAACATCCCCTCGGATAACACATTCAGAGATGGAGCATCAAATTGGAGGGCACCTCATCATCTACACCAACAGAACACCACCACCTTACTCTCAACTGAATGGATTTATTTTATATTGTATATCACTATCACATTCAGGAGGATGACTCCGTGGTCTACCATCACAGCAGTTTGTAACTGGAAAGTGGTAAGGACTCCCTTACTCAGCTGGAAGAAAAAGGGAGAGAAAATGTGGTGGAGAGTCTGGAGGAATGTTAACACTGGAGACAGTGCAATAGGTGACCACAAAAACCCTATTTTGAAAAGCAGACCACACTTGATTTATTCAATCTAAGGAATGGCAGGGATGGGCAGCTATCCCCTTCTGCCTTATCTATGAAAGCCATGGGTGAGTACGGTCCAGAATGGGCATATTTATGAGACAAATTGATATCACAAGGAAAAACCTACAAGCAATCTTGTGGATCACTCCATCTCAACAGTAAGTATTCAGAGGCTATGAAAATTATAAACATGAAGTCATCCTGGCCTTACAGTGTTGAT